TTTTTTTTTTTGTGCTCTATTTGTATGTCTATCTAAATGCTCCATAAGATCAGATTCTTCTAATAGCATACATATGTTGTAATAATGTGTTATATTTGATCATAATCATTTTTGGGCCTTGTTCTGCTGTCAGCGATGCTCATATGATCTTTCTATTCATTGTTTCTTTTGACACTTGACCTTCGGGGCATAATCGATAAGGTCAGAAAATACACAAGAAATATATCGAGCTAGGAAAAAAAAACTAATTTCGAATGAATGATAATTTGTTATTATGTACTAGGAAATGGATGAAATTACAGATCAATTTCGAACAGAAGATGCTGAAGAATTTAAACAATTACAAGCAGAACTTGAAATTGCTGGTTTGTTTAATTATAACTGTCGAGAAATGTGTATATAAATATATACATACTTTTATATTCTATAGCTAAAAATTGTCGTATTCTTCAATTCAAATTACGTAAAGCAGAAAAACGAAATGAAAATATGGAAGCTGAAAAAGCAACATTAGAAGGTAAGATACAAAGGATTTATTTAAGATTTCATAAATGAAGGACATGAGAACAAAAAGAAAAAGAAAAAGACCGTCTCAATAAGGAATTTTTAAACATTCTTTCTTTTTGTTTTTTTGAATTTCTAACACATATATATTTGATTTAATAGAAAAAATTCAACAATTAACCCGTGATCATTATCGAGTTCGTGATCTTGATGAAGAATTATTAATTGCAAAAGAAGTTAGTGTTCGATTACATAGTGAACTTGAAAAAAGTGAAGAATCAAGAATGATAACTGAAAAATTAAATATGACACTTAAACAACATTTAGATACACTTAAAGAATCATTTGATCAAAAATTATCAACAGTAAAATATTTTTTTTGTTTTTCTTGAATTTATTTTTATTTTCTAAAATATATTATTTAGGAAATAAATGATGATTATCATTCATGGCAATTATCTGTTTCTTTATATGAATCACTTTTTCGTGAATATGTACTTGTGGAAGAATTAACATGGTTAAATTCAAATACAAATAAAAAAAATCTTAATAAAAAATCTTCAACAAATACAAATGGACATGATATATCAGATTTAATGAATTCATATCAACAAAAAATTTCTATACTTAATGATGAAATAAATCAACTTAAACAAGATGTAATTAATCGTGATACTGAATTATCACAATTACGTATACAAAATAAAATTTTAAAACAACGTAGTCGAAGTGTCGAACGAACAATTAATTCTAATAGTAATGATTATTCAAATGATGATGGTGGAAAAGATATGAATCGTTTACGACGTGGTGTTAGTGTTGATGGTGGTGGAAATTTACGTGAACAATTAGATACAGCATTCGATGAAATACGTTTATTAAAAAATAAATTATTAAGATTAGAAGATGAATTAAATAATTCAGCTTTGGTAGATTTTTCAATTAAAATAAAAAAGAATATAATTCTATTGCTTTTTAGGAAAAAGAAACACTTTTAGTTAAACTTGATGATCAATCTAAACAAGGTGTAGATGATACAATTCATGAAGATCTTCATTTATTTACTGATAAAATTGGTATATATAAATTTAAAGAATTTATTTATTTTTAATTTATCTAAAATTAATATATTTATAGATAATCTGATAACATTTATGAAAGAGAATAAATTAGATGAAAAGATTATTGGTGATTTAAAACAATCATTACGTCCATCTCGATGGAATAAACAAATTCTTGTATGTTATTTTATTCTTTTGTTAATCATATTTGAAATTATCTTAGTTTTTTCTCTTTTTCGAGGAAAATAGTAAAATTCTATCATTCGTAATTTAGTTAACAGTTTCAGACGAAAAGGAATCCTTGTTCCACCTTTTCAGATGCTAAAATCAACATTTCTGTCTTTGTTATAGCTTTGAAGTGTTCTCAATCAAATGAGGACTATTCGTTATTACTGAATACTTTTATTAAATCTAACTCTCGAAATTCCTAGTAGAAAAACTTGCACAGCGATTCTTCTCATGGAACATGGTCAGTTTTTGATCATTTTAGTTAAAGAAAAAAACTCCTGAGGCATATAGGAAAATTCATTTTTCTCGAAATCAATTTCTATACGAAAAAAGTGCGGAATCACTCTGGTTTCTCCGACATAATAGGTTTGATCGAGCTGAAACTTTTTCTTTACAGATATTGAACACTGTTTTGGAATGCCTTCGGTTTTTTGTTTTAAAAAATATTGCACTGTTGATTTTGGGCAGGTTTTACAAAAAAAGCTTGAGTGAAAAAAAAAACCATTTTCGAAGGTATGTTCAGTATTTTGATCTTTTTATTCCAATCGAAGGAGATAAAAAGAAATCAAAAAAAGTACGCACTCCAAACAGTGTCTCGTATCTGTAGAGAAAAATTTCAGCTCTATTTGATGTATTGCGCAGGAGAAAGTGAGGCAATTGGAAGTATTTGAGGTTTTGAAGTCTAGGACAATTTTTGCTTTATTCATCGAGATCTATCTACGTCGAAACGAGGCGTCTCCTGAAGCATTATGTAGATAAGCATGTATCCAAATCTAATAACAGGCTTTTAATGTTTCAAACTTATCTGATTGATTATGAATTATATCAATAAACTTTCGCGTCATAAATATAGAAGGATATCTGCCTTTGTCAACCAAACGGCGAACGATCCTATAAACCGTGTGTTTTAGTAAGAGATTGAAAGGAAGCTGAATAACAATCTAAACCCGATGAGTCTGGATTTCGGTTTTTTTTTAATTAACTCTAGCACGTAGTCTAACAGAGTTATCGAAATCGCTCTTCTGAGATTGTCGAGTATCATTTCCTTACTTCAATTCTCTACTGACTGAAAAATGTTGTGCCATGTGATAGGTCACAAATGATAACAATATCCTGGGAAATCTGTTTAACTGTATTACCAGATGGATAATAATTGATTGATATTATTGTATATTGCTATAAGTTTTAACAGGAAACGATTGATAATCCATATGTACCGAATAATTTAACCCTTAGCCTCTAGCAAATAAACAGATCGATGAATCAAAAGGTTCGATTTATATTATAAAAACATGGAATTGAAATAGAATCGAGTTATATATTCTAAACAAAAATTCCTTTTTATAGAAAACCCTTAAAGCGTTTCAGATCGTAATCTTTCCATTAATCATATTTTCTTTTTGGGTTTCCCACAATATACTGTTATCATTAGAATGTAAACGACGTAAAAATAAACGAGAAATAACTTCATATGATAGAATAACTGTGTGTGCCTGTTAGTACTTTATTATGTGGAATATTAGCATAATTAAAGGAAATTAGATCCTTAGTTCCGATTTCCAATTTGCTTCGGCAAACATAGTTCACATAAATTAATGTAAAGTTATATAACAATCAGTAAGATAGAATAATTTCTTTTGAGAGAAAATCATTTACATGATCTAAATGACATTTGCAGCGAAATAAATCTGTGGTAATCGATAGTTGTGTTTAGTTGACCACGAGTAAAGCTCGTAACATCTAAATCTAAACATTTTAGACCCGACGGGCTCTAACCACGATGCAGGGCATCAATAAAATGATTATCTTTCATGTGCATTTTTAGGCCCATAGGCATTACTTTTATTAGAATATAATGTTCGCAAAGTTCAGTTGAGACTATTTGTACTTTATCTATGAAGCAGCGTAAAAAAAAATTTTTTTGAGCTCATATTGTAGTTATTTGATATGCTGATAATCATTTAACTTCATCATTACAAGCAATTCCACACAATTAAAAAAAACTATCTCGTAGACAGACTGTTGATTACATTTCTTTTTTTGAAAATATATCTCTTCAGGATGATGAAACACAATCAACAATAATCAAAACTAATCAACAAACTTCAGAAATCTTTCAACAAGCAAATGAATTTTTAACTCTTTTACAAAATAAACATGAAATTCTTGATAAAATTCGTTATCGTTTAACAAATTTAACATATGATGCAAGTGATACATGTACATTATTAGAAGAACTTGATACAACAAAACATGAATTAGAAGAAAAACAACAACAATGTCAACAATTACAAACAACAATTGATAATCTTCAAATATCATCAAAAAATTTTGAAGAAGATATTCAAAATCATTTAAAAATAAATCAAACACTTGAAAAAAATCTTGAAAAACAAAAATCAATTAATAATGAATTACAAAAAGACAATACACGTTTATCAACATTAAATGCTAAACAATTACAAGATTTACGACATATTGAACAATTACGTCAATCAATAATAACATTTGAAAAAAAACTTGATCAAAAACAAACACGTGTTAATGAATTATCAATGAAAATTATTGAAAAAGAAGATATTATTGAAACAAAAGTCAAAGAATGTCAAAAACATCGATTAGAATTACGTGAACTTGAATCAAAATATTATACATTAGGAAAACAATTAGAAGAACAAATTATTGCAATGTCTAAAGAAATGGAAAAATTAAATATTGAAAAAGAAATGTTAAAATTTGATCTTGAATCTGTACGATTAAATCAACATCATGTAAGTCTTTGTTAGAGATTATTCAAAGGAACATGTTAGTTTTTAAAAAGAATCTATTAAATATTTTATGATTAATATTATTCACTTGTTTTTATATATCTAAAGTATTCTTTTATTTTGTTTGATTCAATTGAGTAGATTAATGATTTCTATTGATTGAGAACAAGAAGTTCAAATGTAATTTCAGATCAAGGTTAAATCATAGCTGATTTATGTATGTTTCTTATAATACTGCTAAGACCTATACTCAAGGATAGGTTCTAGCTTAGTCATATTTATACTGTACCGTCATTTCCTTTCTTTCTTCTAATGAAAATAAGCGTATTATTTTATTTTTAATGAGTATAGTTTTTTTGAATGGTAAATAATGCTTTCATATATTTTTATTCATTTATTCATATAAATTGAGAACGCCCACTTCCTATCTTTTCTTATTATTATATATAAATCTATATGTGAATTCAGAGGTATATTGAAAAGTAAACAACACGTATATTTTATCTCAAAAATCTCTAATTCATATTTTTTTTTTTTTAGGATCGACCAAAATCAACAGCAATAGAAGATGAAATAGCACGTATAAAAATTGAATGTCGTCAACAAATAATGGATGGTGAAATTGAATCTTATAAACTTCGTATAAATCAATTAAATTATGAAAAAGATGATTTATTAAAAACAACAAAAGATCTTGAAAAAAAATATAAAGAATTACAAATAAAATATGATGCTGATGAACAATCATGGATACGTGTTAAAACAGATATGTCTGAAAAACAACGCAAAGTAATAATATTTTATTTAATCTTTTTTTCTAAAAATTTTAATCATTCTTTCTTTCTTTCTTTAGTATGATGATAGTATTAAAATAAAATCTGAATTACAAAATGCTGTTGATCGTCTTCGTCAAAAATTATATGATCTTGAACTTCATAGTCAAGAAAAACAAAATAAATATAATATTGATAAACAACAATGGGATGTACAACGAACAGAATTAACTGGAAAGATAAATGAAGTAAGAGAAAAGAAAAAGAATTGCAAATTAAGAAAAAAATAAAATAAAATTTTCTCATTATTCTTTTAGTTAGAAGAACAATTATCTAAAGTAACAAAACGTCAACGAAAAGATCTTGATACAGCATGGAAAAAAGAACGAAATGATTTACAAAAACAAATTCAACAATCACAACAATTAATAAAAGATTTACAAAAACAAATAACTAATCGTGAAGTACCAATACATTTAACAGAAAAAATAAATGTTTTAATAACTGAAAATGAATTATTATTAAGTAAAATAAAAGAACTTGAAATTGTTGTTGATGATGTTAAATTGCTTAAATCTGAAATGCAACGTTTACGTGATAAAAATTCATCTGATTGGAATTATTGGAGAAAACAACAAAGTGATTTGTATGCACAATTAAGACAACAACATAATATTAGAGAATCAATTTTATACAAATTTGATCGATTACAAAAACAGGTAAAGAATTTATTATATGTATATAGAGTA